AAAAAACTTTTATGCCATGCTCTCATCTCTGAACTAGCATTCATAAGCTCGCTTCTGTGGATGGCTTTACCAGCATTGCTCTACTCTGCTAAGCACCATGTTAATGTATGAACACTGTCCTGCTTTGACACATTAAAAAGGATAGCTACTATTTCCAGTTTATACTTTAATACAACGACATATACAGCAACAGGCAAGTGACATCTCAATACATTAAGCTGGAAACATAAATATTTACAAATTTACAAGCACAGAGATCCTGCACCAAGGTTCATGGTTTTAGTCTATGTAGTCCAAGTCTTCTGGAATCCCAAAGTTTTTATCAATTTTATTTTCTTCTAATCCGAATTTTCTTTTGGCCCAAGACTTTATTGCAAATACATTATCTGGAAAGAAAATGCAGGAATATTTTTTGAGAATTGAAACGAATAAAAAACCTATCAACTAGAACTATGATTTTGATGGATCTTTTACTTTTCTTCTGATGTCTCCACCACAAGCCATCAAAAGAAATTACCTATATTTTCAATATTACAGAGTATGAAAATATTTAATGAGGATTTTGAACAAGTCGACAGCTTCTATCAGAAAATCCAGTAAGTTAGTTAGTTGCTCAAGCATATCTGATTTAAGAGTAATCTATACTGGCCCATGAAGCAGCTCCGTGCCTCCCCCTCCCCACGAGGTCAGGCCTGTCACCCACAGAATTGAATCCTCCTGCTCCAGAAAGGGCACATTCTCTCCAGGCCCAAAAAACCTCCCCTACATACACAGAGGATTAATGGCTTCCACACAATCGAGCCAGTGTGAGATATAAGGGGTGAAGAGGGAAGGGTTCTTCCTCCCTTAAGACATGACAAACAGACGTGTCCACTGTCTCCTGAGACAGAGGGGGAAAGGGTGGGTGGGTGTTTACAATTCTACCACTGAAAAAAGTGTTACAGCTAGTTGAAGGGACGTACCTCAGGGAAATAAATTATGTGAAAATACCACCCCAGAACGTCCTAAAAAAGTGAAGAAGAAAAAAAAGGAAAGCCAATCCAAATGCTTTGAACTGGGCGGGCACAGTGGCTAAGTAGTGAATAGGGAAGAGCTGCAACAACAGCTCACAGGGGCTGCATACTGGGGTGTGGGAACAGGGGCACGTTTTCATTTTCTCTCAGTTTTGCACTTCCATTTA